TCGAAGATACAGTAGCATAAGTAGTTCGGTTGCCGGATTTGGTTGCCGTGGCAGGGGGTAGAGAGTAAGACTTGTTTGAAGGACTGTAAAGTGGAAATTTAGATCTCACCAGGCTGGTCCTTTCAGCCTAATTAGTATTCAGATCAGGCATCACCATCTTCATCCGTATCATTATCATCCTCACAATTTTACACAGGCTCAGTATAAGCACTATCATCAACATTAACTTCACGACCGTGTTCTCCAACAGAATTACATAATCAGCATCATCATCCTCAACAGCATACTTATAAAATTTGGCAACATCAACATCACCGCTATCAACCTCATCATCACCACCAATATCACCATCAACATCGCCATCAAAATAACGACCACAGGCAACGTAAAATTTACTATAACAGCCAAAATAATCATCAAACCTTTCATTCCCATAAAATTCACTTTCATAATTACCATCATCAGCATTATCATCTGCATAATCTCCATCACTAACCCCAGAAAATTCGCCTTCCCCCTTATCATCATCATCGCTAAAAATTCCTCATACAATTTTCATCACAGTCATCATCACAATTCTCATCATCATCCACATCATCCACATCATCCACATCATCTCCACCAACATCATCATCGCCTTCGTCATCATCACATCGTCCGTCGGACAAACTTGCAGACCTATTTGCAGATTTGTCTGATTGGTTTGGCCAGAAATTGTGATCAAGTATAAAATCAAGACCCTGTTTCGAGCAAACGGACATGCCTCGCCTACGGGATGCAACCTAGAAAATTCGAAAAGGTAGAGAGCGAGACCGAAATATGGTAGACTGTGGTACTGTTTGTGGTTTCGGGTAGAAGCATATGCAACATTTGATGGTACAACTTAATCAACACATGGTTTATACTAGTAAATTCAGTTCTCTACACCGCAAAATGGGAAACTACTGGACAATTGGCTTTTCATCTTTTGCCTACTCATCTTATCAGTAGTAAACTCTTGAATGATTGAGTTAATGATGTTGATGCCGATGCTACAGCGAATGATTTTGATGCTAGTGTTCATGGTTTTGATGTTGATTAATTTGATTCTCACTCGGGTGCTGTTGCTACTATTGATTACGTTGAAGTTTTTGATGATGAGGCTGAGTTTGACGTTGAAAGTGCTGATAATTTTAAAGTTCATAATACTGTTGTTGGTGATTACGATGATGCTGATAACGAAGATAAAACTCATCTTGGTGAGGATGGTGATTATGCTTATTTTACTATTGAAAACGTTTATAATGCTGATAGTGCTAAATTGTATGTTGATCAAATTGATGAGGATGAGATTTCTTTTGGTCTCGATAATAATTTATGGAAGGTGTACTAGTCGAGTGTGCTCGGGGATCCAAAATTGGCTTGTCGATACTTGAACAGTTGAGTCTGGGCAAACAATTGCAACTGTGCAAGATGAGCAAGAAAGAAGCGGGGATGAAAGTAGTAATGGAAAGGCCTGGTTACAGCAATGAACAGGTCTGGACGAGGGCTCATGGGGGAGGCTCTGTACATGGAATTAGATAGTCCTACGAGAAGGAGCAAATCTTGTGCGTTGCAAAGGAAAAGAAAGCACCCAAAGGACTCTACAGATAGATGAGATTTGAGTTTAGGCAAAATTTCCTGGCCCACTAAGAACGAGAAAGTGTGATACGAATTCGCGTTAATGGGGAATGGAAGAAGACCAAGTTGTCCCAGCAACAAAAAAATGACCAACTACTTGAGGCCCTTGCTGGATGCCTTTTGATGTGGGTAGTCGCAGGGGGCTAAAACTGTCCGATCGGGGATCTCTTCTGGACATTTACAAGCCAGATGTTAAGGTTTCAAGGAAGGAAAAATGTGCCAGTTAAGGGAATACATAAATATATACTGCGGAAACTTATAAAAATGCGTATGCTCTATATCATTAATAGAGAGACAGAAGTGTGGAGCTAATATTTCCGACTCTATTCCTACGACGAGGAGGGATGTAGCCTCAGAAACAATGGACAGTTTCCCTGACCCTTCAGAGAAATGTAGTCTTCACTGTCCTTAAAATAGGGCATGAGAAATATAAAGATA